ACAATATCGGGTTTATTGTCGCTATTCACATCGACGACTGCTACTGAGTATGGCTTACCACCAACTGCGTAAGTAGTTTGAGCATTAAAAGTACCATTGCCTGCGTTGAGAAGAACACCGACGTTGTTCGAATCAAGGTTTGCAACAACAATATCAGGTTTATTGTCGCTATTCACATCGACGACTGCTACTGAATTTGGCCAAGCACCAACTGGGTAAGTAGTTTGAGCCTTAAAGGTGCCATTGCCTGCGTTGAGAAGAACACTGACGGTAGCCGAACCAAGGCTTGTAACAACAATATCGGATTTATTGTCGCTATTCACGTCGACGACTGCTACTGAAAATGGGTTAGTACCAACTGCGTAAGTAGTTTGATTATTGAAGGTGCCGTTGCCTGCGTTGAGAAGAACACCCACGTTGTTCCAGCCACTGTTTGCAACAACAATATCGGGTTTATTGTCGCTATTCACATCGACGACTGCTACTGAGTATGGATTACCACCAACTGCGTAAGTAGTTTGATTATTGAAGGTGCCGTTGCCTGCGTTGAGAAGAACACCCACGTTGTTCCAGCCACTGTTTGCAACAACAATATCGGGTTTATTGTCGCTATTCACGTCGACGACTGCTACTGACAATGGGTTAGTACCAACTGCGTAAGTAGTTTGATTATTGAAGGTGCCGTTGCCTGCGTTGAGAAGAACACTGACGGTGCTTGAGCCATAGTTTGCAACAACAATATCGGGTTTATTGTCGCTATTCACGTCGACGACTGCTACTGACCATGGTTGAGTACCAACTGCGTAAGTAGTTTGATTAAGAAACATATTGCAGACTATTAAATACAAAAAGTTTGCTCTTACATCTGTACTGGTAAATAGACAGTATTCAATCGTCGTATTTTATTCAATCTTCGACAGTTTAACTTAATTGAACATGACTTATTGGAAAGGGTTATGTCACTGAATTTTGGGCAATTTCAGATATTCTAGAGCACAACTAAAGTCAGTTTTCAGCCATTCTGTCTATCTCTATGCGAAACCTTCCCGTAAATTTGAAAAATCGACGGAGTCACCTCACTCTACTTAAAACTTCCGCTCCCTTTAATAAAGTTTCATGATATTTTCGACTAAGAGGACGCAGAATACCCTCCAAGAAGAATTCAGAATGCCGTACATTTGTTCAAAATTTCATTTCAACAAATATATCATTCCTTTTTTTAAATTGCATTACAATATGGGATATTATAAAAACAATATAATATTCCTGTGTCACATAAACCAATAGTATCTCTAAAAAATTCTAAATTCTACTTTTCAAATATTTTACAATTACCTGTGCATCCACACCCTATTCTCGATCGCGTCGAGAACCGCTGAACAAAAATAAGTTATCTGTTTGTGTTATTGTGGGTCTATTTTTCAGTGTTTGTCATAGGTATGCACGGAGTTAAAAGTGGAATTACTTCAGAGTTCCCTAGACGTTGTACTATTAAATCAAACTAAGCATTACACGTTTTAATTATTGTAAGCTGTATTCTTCAATACGTACTCTACAAATGGATGTACTTCTGATATTCGATTACCATTCAAACAAAAACTCAATTTGAGAGATACGCCATTTAGTAGAGTAAACATTGAATAATACAAATCACAATCAATAGAACTACTAGTGCTTAGTCTGGTTTATGAGCACAGCATCTAATGGACTCCGTGCAGTTCCCTATTGATTCATCGAAAACCATTCCGAGAGAAAAAATGAAGGACGCATGTGGACAATACTAAATACGGATCGGCTAGGATTAACCTAAAGAAAAGCGATAATAACGTGGCTTAGTTCTTGCTAACAAAATCCTCGTTATCCTACTATACTCAAGCGCTATGTTATTATTGAAAGTCTTTTCTAAAACTTGAACTAGTGGAATCGTCAATGATAAGTCCGATTCAACGTCAATTTTTCTTAACGTCGGCTCTCGCACCGCAAGTCTGTACTAATAACACAATGACTATAGTTTGATATGTCTAGACATGGCACTCGTAGGAGAAACAACTGAGTCAATCTCTAGGCGAGTATTATTTTTTCATTGAAGCGATTAGCATTTCAACGGTAAAACCTCAAATGTTTTTGTTTAGTAAAACTAACCACCGGTTTGAGGGCTGCAAAAAAGTACAACACATTATCTAGCATATTACTGACCGGCTGTTGTTGCTGCTGATGTTGTTGATAATGACGTTGTTGATGTTGATGTCGTAGTCGATTCTATTTTGAAAAAATTATGTTAGAATGAGACTAAATGATTAGATAAGATTTGTTTCTTTTTCTGTAACAATGTATCGGCATTAAATATGAGTTGATTATAATAAAATAGGAAACGTTTAGATGGTTTCCATTATAATTGTAATTCTACGATGTTTACTTTGATTATATTTCTATTATAATAGCTTTGACAACTCAATTTACATTGCTTAATAAATTTAATAATAATAAAACTTTTCGAATCACACAGATTGAGTCAAACAAGATTTGTATATGGATTCGTTTCCTGAAATCTTTTATTTTTTTTTAACTCTTTCCGATCGGATGTTCTCAAATGGCACCATTGAGATAATGTTGTACCGATAACTCTTTCAAACTACTATCGAATACCGTTCTTATACTACGAAAATTAAAGGTACATATCACATAAATTATCCACTTCTCATTCAATGTGAATACGTATGACTTTCGGAAAATAGTCTAGTACATACTAATTAACATTGGAACGTCAGCATTATTTACCCTTAGTACAAATATTCACTAATAACAGAATTTTGTTGGTATATAAAATAAAAAAAAGAAAAATGTTGCCCTTTGGCAACTCTCGGCTGTTCGAGGTCAAAAGTTTCTAAATTTATTATAAAGCTTCGGTGGCATTATTTAATGACTGTGATATATCATCAACTCTAAATAATAATTAGTAGCTGACTTAGCCATTAATTCAAATATTTACAACAAATAAATGAATCTTCCCATCGATTAAAAATTCGTCTAGATTAGTGAATGTGATTATCAATCTAAAGATGAGATTGACACGATGCATTTGAATGGCGAATTTATATAATATTAACATTCTTCTCTAACGTCTAACTTGCTAAACTAAAACAAAAGGTGGGATTTTTACCAGAAAAAATAAATCTTACTACATTTTGCCAGATATGTTTAGCTCGTTGGATAGCGAAACTAAGTAATATTTCTTTTAATACAATCGGTACCGAAAATATATGTCATTCAATCATGGCAAAACTATGATATTTTTGCAGTATTTATATAATATATTTACTCTGTGCTATGAATATTGCTGATTGATTCATAAATATCAAAGAAGAATTGAAATTAAATTCAATGAAGATCGAAGTACAATTTGCATAAAATAATTGACAAGTTTGATTTGTTGAGAAATAATTTAATGTCGATATTGTTCCATTTGAATTCATCATTTCACATATACATTGGCTTTGCGTTATATTCCATAATGATTTAGATATATTGCCAATCAATATATTGTTATCTATTTTACCGATAAGAATACAATCACCAGTAGAAACTACTAGTAAAAGAAAAAATATCCAAAACATCTCTTATGACTTGATCTTGTAAACTTTTTTGTTAGAAATATTTTAGTTGTTAACATTACTGTTTCTCTTTTCTTTCATTTTCTCCAACTCTCTCGTTTAATATTTAATTACTACATAAAAAATAGCACTATAGATTGTTTGTCAAGTGTCTGAAAAGAATAGCTGTGATCGTGACTAGTATACATACACAAACCGAGTAGAATAGCAACAAGGAAAAAATATTTGACTAGAGGAAGAGACATCCACACCCATATTTGAGATTTATATTTATATAGCAGTATTACCATTCTATTTATTAGACAAACTAAAACAAACAATATTTTTACCATTCCAAGTTAGTTAAATATTGATTTATCATAGCAAC